ATTGAAATCCCTTCGCTCGTTTTTTTGTCAAAATGGATTGCTGATATCCTGTCACTGCAAAACCATTCAAATGTAATTAATACTGTCAGTCAGGGCGCAGCATTGAGAAAAGTGTTTCCGTTTATTTGCAGCGTATGCACAGTGTGGTAATTTTTGCATACATAATGAGATTTGAGGTCACATTTTCAAAGATCGTTTTAGTGTAACTATGTCTTTAAAAATCCAATTTTATTCAGTATTTCATTCTGAGTTCACTTTAATGAATGACCCGATTTGTATTTTTTGGGAAAAAGCATTTTGTGAAATATTAGGGCAAAACAATTGATATCTCTGTAGAGATTTAATGGTCAACAGAAAACATCTCATTTTCTCTCCAAAATGAATGTCGCAGACAGATCTTACATACTAGTGATAACTTCAAGTATTCATAATCATGTAAATCGTACCTGTGTTTCAAGAGACGATTTGAAACAGTCAGGAGCACCTAAAAAATAGTGACCTTTACGTGTTCCGAGTTCTCAAAAACTACCATCGTTAGAAGTAACCATTTTATAAGACAGTCTACGTCATGTACGTGATTAGTCTGCATGTGTAACCAGAACACACAGTGACCAATCACAAAGAGCAAAGCTACCCACATGACAGTGTAGAAGTGGCGGGTACCCAAATCGCGCATCACTGATATCTAAATAATTAAACATGTATTATGAGGCCCAGACTAAGGCCGATAACTATCAGTCAGGAAGTAGTGCCGTACATGTACGTGGTCACAAAACCCAGGTTTGTTAACAGTATTTAGCCACGTCTGGTTTTAGTATAAGGTTTTTGCTTCCTTCCGTTAAAAGGGAGGGAAATTTATCAATAGTATTCCTTGTTTTCTCTTTGTGGGTTCCTTGGTCTTCTTCCTCTGTAAATCGGACTTTTCGGAAGTCTACCCTAGCTATAGCCTAGGCGATACTAGTAAAGTACTAGGCTTTGCCATGCATTATTGCATGGTCCGGTACAATAAACTAATAGTATTAAAGGCAAGCTCCAACTTAATGAAGTTCTCTTTTTTGAAGGAGCTCATGTACTTTGCAATGAATTATTACATAATTGCATTTTAAAATCTTTTACTGTTCACGAAAACTCCATATCATACTGTGTTATAAATGCAGAACATGAAACAAATGGAAGACAAATGTACTTCTTCATTTTCTTATGAACACATTTCCATTTTATTCAGCTGCAATTTGTTGGATGAACAAATATGTATCTGTTGTTAATACTGCAAAGGTTGCTTCGTAAAACCTGTAAATTGCACATTTTAAAAATAAAGAACTACATATAATCTTACTATTTCTGCAGACACTAAAATCTTGCCAAAAATAAAAATATCTGACTTAAGTATCAGTGGCAATGCTTGAAAGTGAATAAGCATATTCACACTTGGCAAATAGAGCATTAAACTTAAATTACACTATGGCATTGTGGATGCAGACTGAAAAATAAACCTGCTTATAACTTAATGAAAAACTTTTATGAAACCCGTTGTTACTGATAACAAAAGCTGCATGTTGTAAAAAGTGTACAAAATAATTATCATTAAAAAAGTAAGTAATTCCTGAGCACAAATTTCCTCAAATCATTCCCGAGATGTAAGTTGTAACAGATAGGGTGGGGGGTTGCAGGAAAACAAAGAAATTACTTTTGGCTTTAAGTAGCCCGCGGCACATAATAAAAGTTTTGAATCACACTTGCCCAGTTCATATTCCTACTGAAGATCCCTGAATGATGAAGATGAACGAACTAGGCATGTAGTCAAGTACTATGTTTCACATACAAAAGGAATGTCCAGTGCACTAAAATTTAATATTTGTTTACCCTTGGCATGCACAGTAAGTTTGAATTGATGTGCATTTAGGCAAGAACCAAGAGAATGTACCATATCTTGACAAATGCCAAAACATGCCCAAAAAAGTATATAATAAAATCTTCGAAGGCAAGATCATTAATAAAAGTAAACTGAATAAGCATGTGCACTATTAAATATTTGACATACATGACCATGTACAGTATTTCTGTAACACAAGTAAAACAAATGCACCTGATAGAAACTGCTCTCATTTTCCGCTTTGACCGTGGACGTGCAACTTACACAAAATTCCCAAGAAAATAATTAAATAAACACATGTACTTAACGTGTAGCTACTTGTTAATCTTCATTGTCACTATCCTCCTCTTTCTCATTTCCTTCAAAACATGGTGCAAAAGGAAACTGTTCAAACACCTCATGGATTGAAGACTTCAAATTTTTCTCAATATCATCACCAACATCTCGATCAAAGTCACATTCAAAATCATCTATGGAGCTGCTATCATTTTCTGATTCTTCATCACAGTCAGAAATATCAACATACTCAGTTCTGTTTGGGCTACAGTCAGAAGGTGCAGATGCTACGTGTACATTTTCACATTCCTTACATGAACATCTTGGACCACAAAACCGATCTTCTTTTTTGCACTTGTATACCCTTGTCTTACAATGGCTTTTAGCACAAGAACATCCCCTTATAAGGAATCTATCATTTGTCCTGATCCTCTCTTCCTCGGTGTTCCATAGGACTCTCAAAGAGTCAGACTCTTCAACAATCCAACCATAGTCACAAACATCAGGATACTCAAATATATGCTGAAGAGCTTTTCCCCAAACTGTACTGACCCAGCATGACCTAAGCCAGTGAAATTTCAGTGCTTCAGCTGACAGAAGTAACTCATCTTCATGTGTTCCCTTCCACGTAGCCTTTCTGATTACATCTAAAAATTTAATGTGATGTCCAAGGATTGACGATGAATCTACAGACTGAAAAAGCTCTACAGGTGATGTATACTTATTTAGGCAACTTCTGTGGACGGAGAAGTAAACGTAACCAATGAGTCTGTAAAATGATAACATTCCCAAATCACTGTCTTCAGTGATGCTGGTATTTGACAACTGTCCTA